GGGCTGTGCGGGACACAGCCGTGGCAGGGCTCATACTGCTGACCCCCACCAGCGCCTGCAAGTGTGGGTGTCCTTTGGCTCCAGGTGCCTTTGGAGGGTGCCGACTGGTGCCCGCCAGAGAGGATTCCTCCCCAGAGGGGCACCAGGGAATACCCATTTTACGCAGGGCCTTCAGACCATGCCAGGAGCCGGCCACCGTGTTGGGGCTCCCTCCTCACACCTCCGGGTGCAGCTGGCCAGAAGCACCAGCGCTCCCCACTCTGCTCAGAGCAGTTACCTCCATGCAACGCACTGAGTTTTCCAGCGTAGCTCACCTTGCCTCAACCAGAAGAAAGACTTAACTATAAGGTAAAGATTCGCCAAGTGATGCCAGACCATCGGACTTTTCACTCCAAGTTCAGAGAGAAATTGTAATGAAGAGTGAAACCACGCAACGCTGCCTTGGCATCCATCAGCAAGACCACTTCATGTCTGTGCCCCTAGCTAGCCCCAAAAGCTGGGGTTCAGTATCCACACGACCACCCCCTCCATCTCTCTGGATCTGAGCTAACCGATCCAAATGCTGAAGCAAACGACCAGCCATATCCCTGCCGTGGCATGCTTCCCCATGTGCCCTTAAGCCATCCGTGGTGGCTCCCATCTCACCCCAAGGCACTCAGATGGCTTACTGAGGCGCTTGTGCCTTTGCTACTCAAAGCACTTCTTGGACTGTTTTTATATTAAGAGTAACACTTTACAAATCATAAGAAGCTTTACTCTATACCTACATCCCTGTATCGCTCATACCTTTAACATACCCTCAGCCTTCATGCACGTTGCTCACAATACATCCTCATCTCAGTGACGAGATGGTTTGTTCAGGCAAGCTCATGAAGGCGAGTTCTGCCCCCGCCCTCCACTTGCGGCTTCCCAGGAATCCATTCCCCACCTACCTCCTGGGATAAGGCCACTCATTCCCCTGATGCCGGACGCCTGGCCCAAAGAACTCTTGTGGTTGTGCCTGCAGAAGGTGGAGCGCACACATGCAGCACCCTCCCAGCCCAGGCAAAGGAGGAATTTCATCACTGTCCCTCCCCAGGTCTGTGCCACTGAAGGGATTCTTCTCCTAGTGAAACGCAAGAGCCATCAGGGCCTCCCTTAAAAACCTGTGTCAGCCTGGGTACGGAGCGGGACAGCAGCGTGCACCGGGGTGGGCCCTTCTCCTGGCTCACCCGGTGCGCGCCGGACCCCGACCCGTGCCAGCCACAGGGCCGCATGGTTTGCACAAAGCAGCCTGGGGGCTGCCCCATGGGAAGGTCAGCCTGCAGCGGTGGCCTGGCCCCCTGCCCAGCCCCGACAGGTCCCTCTGGGGATGCGCACACTAACACCAGTGTCCCTTGGCCCCGAGATCCCCCTGAGACTCTCTACCAGTAGCGTTTCATACAGGAATAGCAGTTAGGAGGATGTTACAGTCAGAAGTGAAGAAAAAACAGCACAGAAAAGCAGAGACCATCCTGCCAGGAGCTCCTGGCAGCCCAGGAGGAGACTGAGGGCTGCAGAGCTTCCAGTAACCAACTACCCAAAACTTGGATCAAGTCCCAATACATTTTCCAGGGGACAAAGAAGAAAAAAAGTTTCTAACTGAGGATAAAAATCCTGCTTCTGGGCAATCTTTGCACCAGATCTCTGAAGATTTACAGCTCTTGGAGAATTTTTTTTAATAAGAACAAAATGAATGCAGAGTCACAGAATGACAGAGTGGTTGAGGCTGGAAGGGACCTCTGGAGGTCGTTATCTCCAGCCACCCTGCTCAAGCAGGGCCCCCGGAGCCGGTTGCCCTGGGCTGTGTCTGGCCAGTTTTTGATTACCTCTGGGGAGGGAGGCAGCAGCTCCTCCTGGGCATGGACGACATCGCCTGTGCCCTGGGATGCTCCACAAAAGTCACCCTTAGGTGGACACAGGTCAGCTGCAACGTTCTGTGCCTCCGAGAACAGGGTTTGCAGGGGGAACAGAAGCAACCTAAAATAAAACCAGCTCTGACTACAGCAAAGTTTCCTTCTTTAACAGTTTAAATACCAGGGTATAATCACCCACGGGGCGCAGAGTCCCACGGATTTCACCAGTGTAAGCTCCCTCCCCATGCTGACCTTAGGGAGCTCCAGGCTGTACTGTCCGCACCCCCCTCGGAGGCTGTTCTGAGTCCTCACCGCAGCGCTGCATATGCGCACTTCTTCCACATGCAGGGCAGCGTGAGAGATTTTATCTTTTTTTATCTCCTCCTCCCCTTCGTCTACTTCTTCTTTTCTTGCACCCGGGTAAGGACCGTGCATCTCGTGGACATTAATTAGCACAGGCACTCACCTTGGTGGGGCTCGGGTCACAAGGAAACCAGGGACCACCCACTGTGATGGCCATTTGGTTTTACCCAGACCCCCCCCTGGTATGAGGCAGCAAACCACGTGGGTCTCCGAAGCTCACGTCCTCTGAAGACCAACCTGTGCCCTGCCAAGAGCACAAATCCCGAGGTGCTCCCTCTCCAGCTGCCCAGGTATTAGCTGAGAGATGCCCAGTGAACCCCAGTAACAGCCTCATCCCTAGCCCAACGCCGGCAAAGTCCCTGCCAATTGGATGCAGGGCAGATCCTTGGCTGACCCCAGATCCAGTTCTTGGCATTACACAGGGATGTGAGCAAGTCACCTCAGCATTTTCGTCATGTCAGTGCCCTTACCGTGGCGACGGCATCCTCAGCTGCAGGCAAGCTTGGAGCCATCAGAGTGAGTTGAAAAAATTCCTCAGAAAGCATCTTACTATTTGTGTACCAGGAGGAGAAAAGCCTTCGCGACCAGCGCAGACACCACCCAAAGCCAAGGCACATAAAATCTGATTAAGGTCGCTGTCTTAATGCTGAGCCCCGTGCTGACGCAGGGCTCTGGGCCGCACAGTAACACCGCTCTGCTTGGGGGCCCAGGGGGAAGCCAGGGAGCGGGGGATCTCGGATTCACAGATTCCTACCGAGTCCCCCCAGCCTGACCCCCTCACGCAGCAGCACACGCGTGCGCTGGGCTAGAGCACATCTCCTAGAAAGATAACTGATCTCATTTCAAAGGCGTCAAGCAGCGCTAAGTTCACCAGCTCTCCCGATAAACTATTCCCACGTTTAATTGCCCTCCCTGCTAGGAAACTGCATCTCCTCTCAAGTTTGAATTGCTCTAACTTCAGCCTCCACGCACGGCGTCTCCTAACGCTTTGCCACCCAGACCAAAAGGCCTTGCACTGCGCTCACATCTAGGCGTGGGGTTTCCAAGCGGCGGTGATCAGTAATCAAGGCACATCTCAATCTGCTCCTGAGAGCCCAACAGGGCTGGGCGGGCTGTTAAAGAGGACGCAGGGTTTACAGGGGCATTTGGCTTGCCGTCACCATAAGCTTCTCCGAGGTTTGTCTTTGAATTCCTCAGTCGGAGCTCAGGCAAAGCGCCTCTGCACCCTGAAGTGCCTCTGTGCAGAGGCAGGAATCGCTTCCACGCTCAGGCACGCTGAGGGTGGGCAGTGGTGGTGAGGGAATGGCCGTGCGCAGCGCAGAGCCGCGGCAGAGCGCAGGCCAACCTGCACATCCGTGGTCAGAAAGGAAGTGACTGCAGTCACTCACTGGCAGGTTACCTGGCTTGCAGATAATGCTGACTCTGCAGAAACAGCAGTTTGGGTTCAGAAGGGCTCATGATTTCACACTTGGCACCACGCGAGCGGGGCGATGCTAGCACGTCCCATTCCCTGGGCTGTGGGCGATGCCGAGGACATCGCTCCAGCTGCACCCATCTCACCCATCCTCAGCTCCATGAGGCTGTGGAGCATGGTGCCAACAACGCCCTGGCCACGGGGCCGGACAGAAACGAGGGTGTGCTCACCCAAGTTCACTCTCGGTGGCACAGCGCTCAGGGCCAGGCTATGGGGGACTCCTGTTTTCAGCAGCATTATCAGCCCCCCCTCGTTACGCCGGTGTGGAGCAGTACCCACACCCTGCTGTGCTGGACCGCTGCCAACAGCCGGCTGGGAAGAACATGCGTGGAAACTGCCCACCCCGGCCAAGGACACCGACCCCCAGGACAAAGTAAAGGCACGCCAATGGCCAGGGAAAGTCGGGCAGGAAAGCTCGGAGGTCAGCAGCCCCCCTTAGCAGGGCAGGACACCTCCTGCGGCAGGAGGAGCAGCAAGGAGGGCGGGATGAGCACCGTGGGAGAACAGGAGAGCCTCCTGACCTCGCCTCCTCTCACCACTCCCGGGGCAGCTGCGCCTCTCCCACGTGCCAAGCCCCTGGCGTTACCATTTCTCCAGGGGAAAGCGAGGGGGGAAAAGGGGCCACAAAGAAGGAAAGAAACAGAAGGGAATTTGTGAGGGATTGAGAGATGTCACTGGTTGAGCTTTCCTTTGGTTTGGGGAGCAACAGCTCCCCCCGCCCCATCAGACTCAAGTGCTTCCCTCAGGCAGTTCACACCACTGGTTACAGCCCTTCCTCTGTCCTGGACACTGACCAGCACAAAATCCCAACCGGAGCTTACCTGAGGGCCGCACAGAAACACCGACACCCACCGAAGGTGCTCCCGAAGAGCAGTGAAGGCAAGGAACTCCCAAACAGCTCTTTTGCTCCTGGCTCAGCAAAGCAAGGCGCTGCTGATGCACTGAGGGGGGGGACACACGGCTGCGGGTTCCGTGGCGCCCACCCCAGCTCTTACCTGCACCTGCCGTCAGCTGCGTGCTGCTCCTCTCCTTGGCGAGCCCATTGGCTTTGGGGCTGGCACTGGGCGCTGCCGCCGTCGTTGCCCTGGGGAGCCGCTTGCCCGGTACCTTCACCGTTGTTCTCAGCAGATCGATTTCCTTCCCATGAACGTTCTGCATGTAGTCCTACAGCAGAGAGACAGAGAGGCTCAGGACCAGCCCTGCCCTGGCGCGCCGTGCCCAGCTCCCCCCTCGTTCACGGACTCAAAGCCAAACCTGGATCCATTCATCCGCCCGGTAACTGGCTGACCAGGGGGTGGCCGGCCAGCGGCTTGGCGGTGCCGGGCACATACCACGTGCTGGCTTCTCTTGGCCTACGCTGAAGTCTCAAACCAGGCGGGCTAGAGGTGAGAGAGCCTTTGGCTTCCCCATGCCTGCAGCCGGCTGCTTTCTGACCACGAGGATGCAACGTCTTCACCCCGACCCGCCTTCTTCCCACCACTAGCGGTGTGTCGGAGCTGGCACTGGAGCAGTGCCAGGCCTCACTTTTGGTGCCCAGGACAGCTGTGACGTGACTAGCGTCGGGATGCCGCTGCGGGCCATCAGGTGCCACGACAGGCTCAGGTGCGAAAGCCTGGCTGGGGATCAGAGATTAGATAGAGCAAAAGAGGACGGCGGTGGCAGGCAGCTCTTCTTCCCTGACATCCCTTGCCTTTTTAGTCACAGCACTCAGCTATAACAGCTCATAATATAATATAATATAATATGATATGATATAATATAGTTCAGTGTAAGTAACGGGACACCTGGAAATTCCCTGTCGCATCTCAGCCAGCGTGACTCAAGCCCAGAACAACACAACTCGGGATAACTCTCTTGCACATCCATCTGCACAGCTTTACGTTATCCAGAACTCGGTGCTTCCACCGCTTCTTCTGGGAGACCATGTATTGTGCAACCAGAAACTCCACGGGCGGGCTGTTAACACCATTCTGTACTGCCCCCTACCAGCTTCTCATCTCGGTCCCAATGAGGCCGCAGACCCCTAGCCTCTCCCGAGGGTTGTCCCCTGCCCCACGTCTTCCACCCCTTCCCTGCTCCGCAGGGCACTGCAGCTCTCCCCCGGCCCTCCCCAGAGCAGCTGGATCCTCCCTGGCCTCATGCCCCAGGACAACTGGACCCGCGCGATCCCCAGATCAATGCAGAGAGGGGACCGCCCTGCCCTGCCCTGCCCTGCCCCGCCGACCTTGGGCAGACCTCAGGGGAGCGGGGGCTGAAAGCCAAGCCAGATTCTCGGGGGGAATCGCGACGCGGGTGCATCCTCCCCTGGCTCCCTGCGCTAGGGGTGCGCACGGCAGCTGGGAGAGGAGAGGGAGCAACCGGCCAGGCTGAGACTGCGACTGCTGCAGGGAGGCTTGGGCTTGCTCCAGTTCACAAGGAGGTCACCAAAAAGATGAGCTCAGAGCCGGTTCCTGCCTACTTCCAAATCCAAGACAATAAAGACATGAACAAGATCAGCCCAGGACCAACCGTTCTCCCAGTCCTTGGCTCCAAGAGGCGGACGAGCGGGGGCTGTAAGGGCAGTGCTGCATGGTCTCAGGTGACCCCCTGCGAGGGTCACAAACTCTCAGCAGCACCTCGACACCTTGGTTTGAACCCTTCTCTTCCCACAGGCTCTTGGGCAGGCGCCCGGTCCTCAGGGCAGACTCCAGAGGTGGGCGGCATGGCAGCACCCCCCTCCGTGCTTCCAACCCCTGGGTGACTCCACCTCAGATGGCACCCACGCGCCTTTGGTGCCCCAGGCAATTCCCAGGTCACCGGCCCAGCCAAACACTGCTCCGAGCTGTTCCTGGGTGGGCGGGAGCCCGGTGGCACCCCTGGGCAGGGAATCTCGGAGGGGCTGGAGGATTTTCCCTAACTCAGCACAATTGCTGCGGTAGCCGGCTGCCTGCCGGAGAGAGCGGTCACCAGCGCACTGCTTTTATTACATGCTATAAAACAGCAATTTCTTCCCAAGCCTCCTCGCTAATTACCCAGCCAGTTCTCTCATTTCATTTTATTACTGGAATTAACAACGAGTTCAAAGCGTGGAAAGCTATTAAGATGTGTGATTAAGCCACATTCAATTAGTTTCTACAAACAATTTAATTGATGTTGCAGATAGAATTAACAGAAGGTGATTGTGTGAATGGCTCCACTGGCTGCAAAATGGGAGATGCTTCCTCTCCAGCTCTGCGCAGCGCAGCACAGCCTGGCCAGCGAAGCTGGGCTGAACCACATACGCCTTCCACGCGAGCAGAAGCTTTTACTCTCCAAGGCTTTGGGAAAGTGCTAGGGAACCGCACCGGTCTCTTCGTAGAACTTGTTCTTTTCCCGTCACTGAGCACACTCACAGAAAGGTAAGAACAACACAGATGCAACAAGGAAAGCCACGCTGAATCCAGGGATCAGGCCCCCAGCGCCCAGGTGCTCAGCAGAGCTGCCGCCTGCGGCTCCAGCTCCAGCCACCCTGCCTGCAAAGGCTCTGGAGCCACCAGCTGCTCTAGAGCGGAGGCAGAGGTGGCACCTGAGAGCAGGAACGCACGGCTCTGCAGGACCCAAGCTCAGGTCCACACGGGTGTGCTTCCACCCAGGAGCCACAGGACACAGGATTTCAGGGCTGGACCCAGCTCACCGGAGCTCTCAACCTCTGACTGCAAATCCAGGCTACGCCTGACTCCCAGTGAGGAGACTTCCAAGCGGGCTGGAGGTGCCAAGATACAGATACAGCAATGGGTCGAGCAATGAACACCCAGCAGCAGATGAACAGCCCTGCCAGGAAGCTTTGGGTCGGTAAAATCAGAAGTACGACTCGGGCAGAGCCGTGCAGTGATTTCCACCCAATGGGGCACAGACCCACCTGGAGTAGGCACATCTGCTGGAGGAAGAAGAAAGGCAGGGCTGCCGATTCCCGGGGTCCCTACACCCATCTCAAGAGGGACAGGGAGAGAGCATAACAGGGATGCAAGAGAAGAGATGTCTAAGAAGGAACTTCCCTGAACCATGCCAAAGAAAAGCCATTGGGAACACGAAAGCGGCACAGAAACGCTCTGGGGCTCGGACATCCTGACAGGGGCTGGGAAAGACCCTCTGCCCACAGCGCCCAGCCAGGACCCCCCTGCTGCACCCCGAGTTCTGCCAGCCCCCGGACATGTGGCAGCATAGGCTCGCCCCGAGCGAGGCAGGGGAGGAGCTGGGACTTCGCATCTCGAGGAAGGATCTTCACAATGCCGGGTGTCTCCTTGACTGAGGATCCTGTGGACCTGTTCTCACCAGCGGCTGACCTCACCACGCGCCTGCTGGCCCGGGAGCTGCTGCCACAAGTGGAAGTGACAAAGCAGCACGTGCCCTTCCTCAGAAACGCGGGCTTGGTTACTGGGCCAGGCTGTCCGACCCTAACATGCTCTGGTGGGTTGTCCTGTGAAAGGACATGGGAACTTGCTTCACGCCACAGGGAACAAACCCAGTGACAAACACACTGCAGCATCTCCCGATCCACGCTAGAAGGTGGGGAGGAGAGGATACAACGGGACACCCTCTTCTGGACCACCCCTTCCTCCAGGCTTCCTTCCGGCATCTGTCCCCTCCAAGCAGGTCATAGACCGGACACCCAGAGAGGGGGCAAGGCAGGGCAGAGGGGCCTCTGCTAACCAGGACAGCAGACAGCTCACCAAAGCCTTTGGCAGCATGGCAAGAAACTAACGCGATGGTAGGTGTTGTGGCTCCTTCCCCTGTTCTCAGGGAGGCAACGCCACGAGGGAGCACACAGACCCCTGCCATCCTTGCAGGCGTCAGAGCTGGGCAGCAAGCAGCTCCGCGTTCTGTGGCCCACACACGATGAGTCCATGCTCTAGGTAAACACACGGGGCGATACGCCGCCTGTCTTGGGTGCAACGTTCAAAGCTCTCAGCGAAACCTAGGGGAGGGGAGGCCCATCTCGCACCATACCCAGCCGCGGGCTGTGGATTACCAGCAGCACCAGGTGGAGCAAACCAGATTTGTGCTTGGAGCAAGGCAGGAATGAAATGAAACGCTGGAGGAGCGCAGTAAGGGAAGCAAGTGACATCGATCCAGGTCACCCCCTGGGGAAGAAATGGGGTAAGAAGGGGAGGAACCTCGTGCAGAGCAGCAGCATCTGAGAGCGGTTAAACAACATCCCGGGAATTACTCTGCCTCTACAGCTGATTGTAATAACGGCCTACGACGTCTCCGATGGAAACGTGGTAACCCCACACACGCGTGTGAGAGCACAGGCAGAGCGGGCAGCAGCCGCCGCTCCCTCCCAGCTTGGTTCTATAAAGATGAAAAAATGGGGTTACGGAGTCAGGGAACTGCAGAACAACCCTAGGGCGCAGGGATCAAAGGCTACAGGAAAACAACCCCGTTCTCAGAGCTCCCCCAAACTAAGCAAAGGAAATGCAGCGAGAGGCTTTCCGGTGTAAGAATTGGGGGGGGGTAAAGGCTGAGCACCTCAGGGGCCAATGACTGAGCCCTGCAAGCCCAGGAGTTAAGAGACATAGGGCTAGAAGAGAGGAGAAAGACCCCAAGGCTCAGGGCACTCCAACGCTGTGTGTCTGGGGACACTGGGGACAAACCGAGGGCCCAGAGCATTAGGAGGCACGGGGGCTCTTCCCCTTCAGCCCCGCAGAGCGCCCCAGCACCTCGCCCTCCGGCCGGGCTGTGCCCCATGCACCCCAGCCGCTGCCCGGCTGCTGCAGCCCCTCTCTGCAGAGGGCGCTGTGGCCTCGGTGTCACAGGTGTGTCTGTCCCTGGCTCGCTGTCTCGGCAGCAAACTGTGCTCAAGAGGGAACGGGGAAGAAGTCATTAGCCCCACAGCGGGGAGGCGGCAGAGATGGATGGGGAGGCAGCTGCGTGCCTGAGCCACGCAGCGGAGAGGATCAGAGATGCATCGAGCGGCAGCTCAGCTCGGCAGGCTCTGCACAGGCACCTCATCTCCATTACCCAATACCTAGCAGCCAGGAAAATTATTCCACACCCAAATGGCACCATCAGCCGTGGCTGCGAGGAGTTCTCTGCCTGCTCCTCACCCCAGATGCGGGGAGGCAGCACCCCCTGCTTTAATGGACTGAGCAAAGGAAATGGAGAGGGGAGAGATGCGCTTGCTTGGCGTAATTCTGTGCAGAGCGTGTTCCTATCGGCTTTTCCCGCCCAGCCTAGCGCTGCAGAGACAGCCTTCGCGAGAGGGAAGAGGTTTGGTACAAAACAGCTCTGCTGAACACGCCTGCCCTGTCAAGGGCTGGCGCTGAACCTCCTGCCGCGGGCAGGGACGGGGGCTTTTGTCTGCTGCCAAACTCTTCCCGAGTAGCCCCCTGCGACTGCGGCCTCTGCTAGAGGACCTGCAGCAGCAGGCACAGCGCCAAGGAGGACGCTGCCCTGGCCCACCCTGCCCAGCCCAGCACAGTACTCACATGCAGGCTGGGGTGGTAGGTGAGGACCCCGTTGTCACACAGCGTCACGTACTTCTTCTTCCACTCCTTGTTGAGGGATTTGCCGCTGCGTTTGAGGAGAATGCCCTGGAAGAGAAGCGTCCAGAGTCTCAGACCTTGTTTGGCCCAGGCACCTCCCGCTCGGTTCCAGCACTGCCCCTTGCAGGAGACTGGTCTTTGAAGAGACATGCAGGACTCAGGAAAACATCTTCTAGGTTGGCCTTCCCAACAGCATTGTTCTTCCACTCCTTGTTGAGGGATTTGCCGCTGCGTTTGAGGAGAATGCCCTGGAAGAGAAGCGTCCAGAGTCTCAGACCTTGTTTGGCCCAGGCACCTCCCGCTCGGTTCCAGCACTGCCCCTTGCAGGAGACTGGTCTTTGAAGAGACATGCAGGACTCAGGAAAACATCTTCTAGGTTGGCCTTCCCAACAGCATTGTCCCTGGAACTGGCTCCTCACCAACCCCAGCACGTCGCTACAGACAGCCCCCCCCCCCTAGAGGTGGGTACTGATGCTGCGGGACCGAGGGAGCGTTTGAGGGACTCGCCACAACCCTGCTGCTCCAAGTCACTCCCTCTAGGCAACTCTTCTGGGGCTGAAGGACAGCCCCAGCATGAGGCAGAAGCCAACCTCGCCACCGGCCAACACTGCTTGCTCTGCTACCACCGCGCTCCCAGACCTCCTTCCACCCCCAGAAGCACAGCCGGGGGATGTTCAAGGCAGGGACAATTTGGGACAGGCAGGGACAATCAATGGAACAATGCTCCAAGACACAGGTCTCACAAGGGATGCATGTTCTCCTGACTGCTTGCAATTCCTTTTCAGAGGCATCAAACAAATGGAGCTCAGACACATCTCAGGAGGCAAAGCAGATGCTGGGCAGCTGAAGGGTGGGTTCACCCCCTTTCTCCATCAGGATTTTACATGAAACCCATCCCGCGGTCTTCAGGCACAGCACACCCCTAGGGCCTGCGAACAACCGCGCTCACGTGCCCTGAGGCTCCCTCCTCCCACCAGCCCAACCCAGAACTGACCAGGACTGACTTCCATCGATCCGAACCAACACTCAGGGCTTGGGACCTCCTCACCCTCTCCCCATCCAGCTCCGCCTCCCCGGGAAATCTGCTTTATCAGCAATTCACCATGCACCAGGTGAGATCCGAGGCGGGCCAGAAGCCAGGCGTGAGGGCGCTGGCGCAGGGACTGGGGAGAGAACATCGAATATTCTGCCGGCAGGGAGGAAAGGGCAGCCCAGGGGGGTGAAAATACAGATGAATAACAGCGCCTGGGAAAACGCTGGATCCACCAACTGTCGGGCCCGGGCGCTCCGAAGGCGCTGTCTGGCAGACATCCCGGCTGGCTGTTCCTACCGCGGCAACAATCTGGGCCCCCGGCCAGCACCTCCTCCAAAACCTGTACAGAAAGTCTCTGTCCTGCCAGCCTCGGCATATTTGGGGGCCCCGTCCCACTGCCTGGAGACTGAGGCTGCTACGCCTGCGTGATGGAAAAGCACAGCAGAAAGTTGTACGGTTTGGCGCACGCTGGGGTAACAATGCCGCCAGACACGACCATGAAATCGGCAACAAAGGGTGCAGGAAAGGCAGAGGTGCCCCAAGACCGCCTGTGTCCAGCCCTCAGGAAGCAAACAGCGTGAAAAGCAAACACCTCCTGCTCGCGCAGGGGAGAGGAAGTTCAAGCGTAGCAGCAAAAGCTAAGCTGTGCTGGTGGCAGGATCTGCCCCCTGCCTTCCGGAGCCCTGAGAACCGGCGGAAGAGCTGACGCAGCAAGGGCTGGAAGGTGCCGATGTTAATGTGCCCTGGAACGGGGCGCACGCTCTGTCCGGGTCTGTGCGGGGGAAGCAAGGACCCTTGCAATTTCAGGCACTTAGCCGGATGCTTACACCGGGCACATGCGTGGAAAAGCCACTGCAAGAAGCAATCGCCAAAGAACGAGAGGAGAGCAGTGTGACTGATGCCAGCCCACGCGGACACAGGCCATCAGAGGGGCCCGATGCTGCTGGTGCTGCGGTCACAGTATCTGATGACAACAGTAACTGTGTTGATGCAGCATTTTGACTTTTCTGTGAAGATTTTAACTGAGCGGCGCACGCCACTGAAAACCAACTGTACCAAATCCACAGAGCCATTCATGCCCGGAGTAAAACCCGGCCAAGCCAAAGGTCTCAGAACGTAATCAGAAATGAGAAGCGTCACCATAGATGACAAATCCATGCCCAGTGGAAGTACTTGCACAAAGGTCCAGCCCCTCTGCTCTTGGTTCGTGTCATTTAATCAATGTCCTTCCCAAGTGAGGTCAGAGAAAACACAAACCCAGAAAACTCGAAGGTAACCCCAAAACTGCACCGTGTGAATCACCGCGGCAATGGCTGTTAGCTCGGATTGCCTCCTGTCACTGGGCAAGCTGGGCTGCTGGGAACGGCGTGGGTCTTGGAGCAGCTCACGCAAGGTCCTGCTGCTGGGAGCAGAGGTGGCCAGGCCCCGCAGGGTGGGCTCTCCGGGTGGGAGGGCACCGCCACCGCGTGGCTCCTGAGCTCCCACTGTTCAGCCGGGACGGTAACAACCTACCAGGTCGGACGAGGCGGCCAGCATTGCCTCGAGGTGCGACGTTATCACAGCAAAGCAGAGCCAGAGGAGCGTTTGGAGGCCACCTCGTCGCATCCCGCCCCAGGGCAGGTGCAGGTGTACCCACGCCACTCCAATTGCCAGCGACGGGGACTGAGGTGGGACCCCGACGTGTCCTGCGCCTCCACGATGAAATGCCAGTGTGGCACTCATCCCGCCGCGGCGGCCGCTCAGAATGGTTCCGTGCCTGCCACAGCAGCTCTTGGGGGTACC